GGAAGAGTTTTGAGAGTTGGATGGAGTAATGATAAAGAACTCTTCGGCTAATTAATTGGTTGAAGAAAGAAAGATAGCTAGGAAGATTCCATGCCTAATTAATATTTTCAAAAGAATGTTAATTATTTTCTTGAAAAATGCTACATGTACTTCATATTTGTACTCCAAGTATTACTTTGACATTAAATGTAGGTACGAAACTGGTATTACGCTTGTGTTGCACTTACATTTAATGTCAGGATAATACTTTGAGGTACAAATATGGGATACATGTAGCCTCCTGTTTTCTTTTGGGCTTCACTTTGCAGTATTCTGTTTTCTTGTCCTTTCCCATACATTTGAGTACTACATACACTTGCTCTTTTCATTCTTCCAATTTCCAAAGGACATTAGGTTCACTTTTATGAGGAATATTAAGGATAATAGAAAATACTTCATCCCTCCTATAAAGTCCTTTCTCTTTGAAAGAAAAGGCACTCTTAAAATGAGTAACTTTGGTGTTATTTTTTTTAAATTTTGCCCTAACTTTACAATATAATAAGATAAGATGTGTAGGATAGATGAGTCATATATATATAATTAGAAAATAATACCAAAATTATGCATTTTAAAGGCGCATCTTTTTTCAAACAAGAAGAGTTTTATAGGACGGAGGGAGTAGAACACAATTATTATTTACTTTATTATTCTATTATTTTTTACTTTTTTGTTGTATTGTTATTATTAAATTCTTCCTCCGTCCCATAAAGATGTTATGATTTTGACTTTCAAGAAATTTAAGGGATGCTTATTTTTGTTTTGTCTTTTCCAAAATACCCTTGATGTGATAGTAAAAGTAGGATGTGGTAGATATATTATTAATAAAATAGTATAATGTGATAGGTACGTTAAAAATTAGTATGGATAAAAGTAGCTTTGTAGTAGAAAGGAGAAGAATTTTGTGAGACAAGAAAAAAAGGGAAAGAAGTTTTTGGGATGGAGAGAGAGTACATGTTATTAGAATGGAAATATGTGAAATTTGCCCTAAACAGTACTAAAAACATATATAGTTCCTCTGTCCCAAAAACAATTTTCCTACTTTGATTAACGTGAAAAATCCCGTAGATTTGAAAAATTTTTTATTTGTAAATTGGTAAGGAAATAAAACATAAAAAAATTATATTTAAAAACTACATCAAAAACTCTATAAAATAAGAGGTGACAAAAATATTTTATTTTATCAAATGATCAATGAAAATACGCAAACAAATAAGAGTTATCGAGAGGCGTAATAATAAACAAGAAAGACTTTTTGCGATGGAGGGAGTATGTTTTTCCTAATGTAGTACCTAAAACTTTTTATTTCTTAAATAGTATTTCAATAATGTCCAGTGGCAGTGGATATTTATTTTGAACAATGTCCAATGACGATGAAAATTTATTTGAATAATATCGAATAGATATTGAACACTGATATTAATTAGGAAATTAAAACATATGGTACTCCATTATATACAATAATAGTTAAACTCCCCGTGGAAATATATGGTGGAGGATGAATAATAAAACACGGCAACATCATACGATCCTTTTGCAGATACCTTTACTATTCCGCTGGTTTTGCTTGTCAACGCGTCGTGGATGCCACCGTTGCCACGTGCCTCGAAAATAAAATAAGTATTCTTTCATGTGTCCAATTTTTTTTTTTGGTTTTGACTTGACACAGAGGTTAAGAAAAATTAAAGTGTAAAAAGTTTACATGTTTGTCCTTAATGTGATGAAATATAATAAATAGTATAGATAAAAGGTGGATATATAATGACACATTCATTAAAAAAATTGCCAAAATAAGAAATTGGAAAATATATTTTGGGCAGCCTAAAAAGAAAGTAAGAAAAAATTAATAGACGGAAGGAGTATTATTATTATTATTATAAAAATATGATATTTTAAAAATTATATCTTAAAATGAATCTAATTTTTAAAATAACCTTTTTATGACAAAATTATGACTAGGGGCAAGGTTAGAGTAAGGAGTAACGCCCGGTTTGGGGCCAGCGCCCTCAAAACTTTTTTGAAGACTATTTTTAATTATGAGAAATGAAAAAATTTATTTCTAAACAAATAATCAAATAAGTAAAATAAAATATTCTTAAAGTTGAAAATATAATACAAAATATATCAAGTAATTATTATTTTTACTTTTAAACTAAATTTCTTTTTTACACGGGGGAATATTTTTTCGTGGGAGGCATTTTTTAATTTACGACACGAAAACAATTTACACTACATATTTATAAAAAAACGATTAACTGGGGGCCACTGCACGCATTAGGTTCAATGTGGAGCCTATGGGATCGTATCCCTAACCCTCCAGTAAACGTCTCCACCCCGGGCTGATCCTAAACCCTAAACCCAAAAAATTATACTGCAAACTTCAATTGCACAGTATCTCCTCTCCAATTGTGCAGTATCTCCTCTTCAATTGCGCAGTATCTCCTCTCTAATCGATTGATCAAGAACATTTAAATCATTACTTGATCCGCAAACTCCAAAGAAAGAATGTCATATCCAAAGATCATTTGACGCTAGTGCTTCAAGCATCAACATCAGGTGACAATGGTCACCCCGTTGATATTGGCCCTACCAAGTCGTTGGACAAGTCGCACACTCCTAGTGCATATAGTTAATTCTACCAAGCATTCTAGGAAATCCATGCACCTCCTAATGAGCGTTGTATATTTTTTGAATGTCATTCTATGATGGTTTCCACAAATATTTTTCACCATATAGTGCCATGATACCTTCAATATAATGGAATGTAATATTCTACACTATATATATATATATATATATATATATATATATATATATATATATATATATATATATAGAGAGAGAGAGAGAGAGAGAGAGAGAGGAAAAGCTTTAATTTTAACAATTAAATATAAGAACGCATACCTTTGTGAAATTCGTATAGTGTATCTCTACTTGCGTTTTGGACATCTTCAAATATTCATCCCAAGAATCAGAACTAGGGATGGCAACGGGTCGGGTTCGGTTCGGATATACCTTTACCCGAAACCGACCCGAAATTTTGATCGGATATTTTTTTGCCTGAACCCGAACCGTCGGGTATAAAATCCTACCCGAACCCGAACCCGAACCCGACTGCCTAAACCGAAACCCGAAACCGCAACCAAACCCGAGAATTTGACAAAAACCTAAGCCTAACCCGACCTGAAAACCGACCGACCCGACTGACCGACCCGCAGTGGAATGGAAGGAAAAGCAGGAAGAGAGAATTCACCTGAGATTGCCGCTGTGCTCGCCGATGGAGAATAAGAAGAATCGCCGGTAGGAGGGCTGCGGAGTGCCGGCTGCGGATACGAGAAACGGAGAGGAGAATCGGAGATCTCAGGTCGCGACTCGCGACTAGGGTTCCAAACAGCCGCAAGTGTAAGTCCAAGTCCAAGTCCTTAAGTCCAGACAGCCGCAAGTATTTGCTTTGTACTTTTAATTTTAAAAGGTTTTTTTATATTTTAAAAAGGCCTTTTATTTCGGGTTAATTATCGGGTCGGTCGGGTACAGGTCGGGTCGGTCAGATTTAATTACCGAAAACTGACCCGACAAAAGTCGGGTTCGGTTTTAAAATCTTCGGGTCGGTTTCGGATATTAATTTTTTCGGTCGGATTCGGATATTATATACTTCGGTCGGGTCAGAAAAAGTCGGATTCAGATAAAATTGTCATCCCTAATCAGAACTTGTATCATATGGCAATTGACGAATTGCATATGTACTTTTTTGCAAATGCGTAAATCTGACTTACCTTTTCCATCATAACATTGTTGGAAGTATTCAAATTCGGCTTGCAAGTCATTGACTATTCTACAGAAAAGACGTTAGCTCATCCGGAAGTGTCTAGTAAATGACAAGTCGTTGTACGTTGGCTCGGCAAAATAATAAGAGGAAATTATGTAAATATGATCAAAATATAATGACTTTCTCAATATAGGATCATATGTTTTTATTTCTCAATGTTGGACTATTGGTCATTTTCCATTAGTCATTATTCAAGTAAATGTCTACCATCACTGGACATTATTCCTCCCACTAGACATTATTAAGTACTATTTAGAGAATAAAAAAGTGTAAGTCCTACATTAGAAAATGACTTATGTTTTAGTCCTATATAGTGCAAATTTTACAAACAATAACCTTCTATGAGACGCTGGTTTGCATTCGCACGATCTCGATTGATTTGGATTTGTTCTTTAACGACCCTTTTGTTTTCGTTTCGGCTCAGACTCGCAATTATAAAGGTCGAGGTTTGCACTGCTTCTATAAAAATTTTGTCCTCACTAGATGAATTGGAAGAAAGAGAGTGCACAAAATTCATCTTTTGAAGTGTATTGAAAATTAAATTTAAGTATGAATAGAACGTTAAACAAATGAGAGATAAAGAAATAAGAAGGGAATGAATTTTAAAATATACTCCGTATAAAATTGGATAGTTTAAATAGAAGAGTGTAGGGAGTTTGAAATTTGAATTAAAAAAATTAGAGAGTAACAGTTGAAACAAATATTTTTTTAAAAAGGTCAGACATTACACAGTGTGGCCTTGGCCACGGGTCTGCTCATGCGGGCAACTCACGGTGAGAGGGGGGGAGGGGGTAGTGTAGCATGTGGTCACGCGACGACGTGGGCACGTGGCAGTGCCATGGAGGACCACGGGAGGGGCGGCGTGGGGCATTTCATACCGCCTAGAAAGAAGTGAAAAAAATGAATATATTCTGATTAGAGTTTGAACTCAGAGTGATAGATTGATAATGAATTACGGAGTACTATATTTTGGATTTTTATTACATTTTGAATTTGTGTTTGATTTTATTGATTGCAAATGGTTTTAAGCCGGTTTGTTTGAATGGAAGAGAAAAGAAACTAATCCCTCTCCCCTTAAATCAACTTTACCAACAATATAATACTCTTTCTTATCAACATATTCTGATTTCTAGCTACACATCATTTTTCAACCATCTCTTTAAAATATATGGCCAGACAAAGTGGGACACTAAATGTACATAAGAAAAAGTATGTGATGGTGTCATATTGACCAAAAGTGGGCAGGCTCCAATATTTAAGGTAAACATGTTAAAGTATAGTGAATTTTAAAGTGTTTTCAAACTAAATTTTAATTAAATTGATTTCTTAATATTCTCTTCTTCTCATTTTAGACTAAGTATTTCACTTTCATCTGTCCTAAAATAGTATTTGTGACACACACAATTTTTTTCTAATCATACGATTTCCATATTTCTTACGGAGGAGTATTTCTTTATGTCAAATCAAAAGTGGATTTTTTTATGTAGACATGGAGTGAGTACTTCCTTCATCCCCATTTAGGTTACAACTTTTTCTCTCTATATTTTCGATAACTTTTGTTTATTTGTATGTTTTCATTAATTATTTGATAAAATAAAATATTCTTGTCACCTTTTATTTTATAAAACTTTCGATGTAGTTTTTTAACATGTAATTTTTATTTTTTTATTGATGTACCAATTTGTAAATAAAATGATTTCAAAAATCGTGAAATCTTACCTCGTAATTTCTATTTTGTAAGGATGAAGTATTTGATATGGCATTAAGTTTGTTGTTATTGGAGTCAAAGAAAGCCTAAAGATACGGGGGGATTAAATAGATATTGGATCATGCTATTTGTACCGCAAGAACTTGTACCCCATTTTGTAGACCGCAGAGATGCACCAATATTGTGTTGATGTAATGCTAATTTTTGTTAATGCACCAACACTTTGTGTCAGTGTAAATTTTTGTTAATGCACCAACACTTTGTGTCAGTGTAAATTTTTGTTATTGCACCAACACTTTGTGTCAGTATAAATTTTTGTTAACGCACCAATACTTTGTGTCAGTGTGAACCATCAAAATATTAAATATGGTACAAATTTTGGGGTAGACTTAGCATGCTCCATAGAGATATCCCATCATTTTCGATCCCTGCAACTTTGACTTGAGGAACACACCTATTGAATTAAAGGGCAAGAAATAATAATGGTCACTTTAGCAGTAAGGAAGGGACAATGCGGTCCAATACTATGATCTGTTCATACTTTAGACCCAAGCCACCCAAAAGCACCCTCCCATCCAATCATTGCCCATTCATTTCAACCTTCTCACAGGTACCACTGTGCATCTATGAGTCTCCTTTCCAAATATGAACCATGTATATATATATATATATATATATATGTATGTATTACTCGAAACATAGCTCAAGTGGTCAATAGAGCGTCCAAAGAGACACTGTAGAGTCCAAAGAGACAGTGTGGGACGTTGTTTATGCCCTACATGAAATCCTTGTCTGGATCAGGAACAGATCTCATTTCCCATTGGTCAATTGAGATTAGACTTCTTTTGCTTCTATAGGATGGGGTTATCCCTTTTTTTTGTTTGTGTGTGAATATGTATTTATTGAAATATATCTAAAAATAATAATTATTTTATTTATGGTTACTCTCTCTAGAGGGGAAAGAATGGAATAGAGATGACAAGCTTCTCAAGCTTGTTTTTCGAAATGGAGGAGAGCTCGAACAACGGTGGCCGACGTGATGAATACAAGAAGATCAAGGAAGGGTCTTGGTTCGACCAGTTCCGCAATGGCTCCAACCCGTGGATGGCGAGATATGTCTATGGCTTCATGTTCTTGATCGCCAACTTGCTCGCTTGGGCTCTCCGTGACTATGGCTCAGCTGTGATGCAAGAGATGAAGCGTAAGTAACTCACAACGTTGTTTGGTTTGCATTCCTATATGTATAGATATTTGGCTTAAATGCGAATCGTTTGGCTGCAGGGTTAAAAGATTGCGATGGAGGCGTAGATTGTTTGGGTACCGAAGGGGTATTGCGAGTCAGCTTGGGTTGTTCTGTATCCTTTCACTCACTCACAAAACAAAACGTATCGTTTAGAGTCCCGCAGCAATGACATCACCCATGACACCGCTGGCGTGTCAACAATGACTGTTTGTGCGTGCGTGACTAGAGTGAAACAAAATGGTGTCAAACTCGGTGTTTATTGTTATGGCAAGTGCTTTGAGAGGGAATGTTTGGAGTTGAACCTTGACGTTTTCGTCGCAGATGTTCTATTTTGTGATGTTTTTTTCTACAGCAGGAACCTCAAAGTATTGTGATGGCAGAGAAGCGTGGCACTCCGGGTGGTGGATACCCAAGATCGCTATGATGCTTTTGCTTATTGTACTTCCCTTTCTCCTCCCTATTCAAATCATTTCAATTTACGGTTCGTGTAATCTCTAACGTTCTCGGAATGAATATCATAACTTGAAGTTTCGCCGTTCCAATGAATTAATTAAATGCTTTTGTTTGTTCGTTTCGTTGCATTAGGTGAGGTAGCACATTTTGGAGCAGGGTAATGACTAAAACTAATCTTGCTAATCTACTGCAAAATGATGAAAAACCTCTGATTTCTTAAACGTGTTTCCACTTTGCAGTGTATTTCTGCTGATTCAGTTGGTTAGCATAATCAGTTTCATCTCGTGGCTCAATGATCGCTGCCACTCTGAGAAATATGGCGATAGATGGTAACGAAATCATTGATTCTCTTCTGTTTTTTCCTTTCAATCTCTTCTTACACAATGTTTGGTTCAAGGATTTTGGAAAGAAAAGGATAGAAAAATTGCTTTCCTTCTCGTTTTTTTCTTTTCCTTTCGAATTCCTTGAACCGAACATAATCTTAGCAATCGATTTTTAATGGGGAATGAGGTGTTGGTGCAGCCACGTTCACGTGATGATGTTTTCGACAGTCACGTACGTCGTCTGCTTGCTTGGGATCATCTTAATGTACATTTGGTACACGCCAGAGCCGTCTTGTCTTCTCAACATTTTCTTCATTTCATGGACTCTGGTGCTTCTCCAACTTATGACCAGTGTCTCTCTCCATCCAGAAGTAAGCCCAAAAAGTCTGTGTTAGTTATTGTTATATATCTATCTGTCTGTCCAACGTGAGATGGGTTTTTCGACATTTTGGGAAACAACAGGTGAATGCTGGGTTTTTGACTCCTGGTTTCATGGGCCTTTACATTGTGTTCCTCTGCTGGTCTGCAATCAGAAGGTAAGAGATTCAAACGAAGAAGAAGAAGAAGACGTTTCTTCATTTCTTGTTCTCAACATTATTTTTTTTGTCGGTTTTCCACAGCGAACCGCCCGAAGAAAAATGCATTCAGAAGGCCCGGGCTGCTTCTTCGAAAGCAGATGCGTTCACTATCATAGTAATTCTCCATTCACCTCTCTTCACACCCAAAGAATTTGCAGAGAATCTACTCTAAAAAAAAACACTACTATAACTTGTTCTATATTTGGCAGAGCTTTGTTGTGGCAGTCCTTGCAATCGTGGTTGCGACTTTTTCCACGGGGATCGATTCGAAATGCTTTCAGGTTTGTAGTTCCTACCCACCGAAAGACAATGCAAACCCATTCTCCGATTCTCAATCAATGTCTTTGCCAAGTGTGACCCAAAACTTGTTTCACGACAAAAGTTTCAGTTTGGCAAGGATTCCCAAGTAGTCGAAGAGGACGAGGAAGAGGAGCACGTTCCATACGGTTATGGATTCTTCCACTTTGTCTTTGCTACCGGCGCCATGTACTTTGCGATGCTATTAATCGGATGGAATGCTCACCACTCCATGAAAAAGTACCCTTTTCTTTCACATGCATTACAAAACTACCCTTTCAGTGCTTACACCTACACAATAAATTTTTAAATGCATTATTTGGATTGGTTTTTGTGAAGGTTTACAATAGATATTGGTTGGACAAGTACTTGGGTGAGGATAGTGAATGAGTGGCTAGCTGCTTGTGTTTATAGTAAGTGTATACTGAATAGTACCAATTAAACATTACAATGTAATAAATACTTCAAAAACACTTACTTACATTGGGTAAATACTTATATGTCTTTACCTTTTGTGCAGTATGGATGCTGGTTGCTCCAGTTGTATGGAAGGCGAAACAAGCGGGCGAATCCCAAGTCTAACCGGGCGACCAAAGGTCACTACGAAACGGATACAAACGGTCATCACGGAAATTTAAACATTGGGAAAAACATGGGTTTTGGGCATTGAATCATTCACTTGATTTGCATTTGGATGAAAGGAAATGAAATGCTTGGCAAAAGGTGTGTTTGGCCTGAGGAGATTCTTTGTCCAACCTGGAAATGCATCAGTTGAGTGGAGAGCAGAAAGGGAAAGGGCAAAAAAGGAAATCAATTTGGTGTTGGGATTCATGTAACTGTTTTTGTTCTTCATCAGTATAAATTTATAGTACTAAAGTTATACGCCAAGTGTCAGTTTAGAGGTCAGATTTGTAAATCTTGTTTTAGTATCATGTTGTTACTAAACACGATGAGAAAAGCATTAAACCATTTATGCCAGAGTTACTACTGAAAGTGAGGAAAAAGACAATTTGAATGAGTTTTGCAATGAGGGCAGAGGGGGTTTACGATTTGATTCCGAATATAATTTATTAGAATCATTTGAAAACTCATTCTTCGATTTAGTACTATGTCAGTTCGGTTCGAAACAATGTCATGTCAGTATTTTTTGTCCACCCCTACAAGTAAAATAGAAACTCCATGCCCTCAAAAGATGACCCCCAAAAATAATACTCATAAGAATCCTCAATTTACATGGTCAAAGTTTATTCAATTTTTTTACTTAATCTCATTAGTCATTTGATTGAATAATAATCATGTCACCACTTGTATTGTAATGATTTTGATGTAATTTTTAAATTTTTAAATTTTACTTTATAATTCTACATGCTTGTTTTATAAATTAAATGGAAAATAATTTCAATCAAATATCATAAACCGAAACAAGTCATTCAATTTCGGAGTATTTAAGAAAAAACGTGTGAACTACAAGTTTCATTCTTTAAAAAGAAAAAAGAAATACTACCACCGTTTCTAAATTATCAATTTAGTTTAACCTTTGTGGTCTTTTTCTCCACAAATTTAATATAGATTTGAATAAATAAATACTCCGTGACCTAAAATATTTTTTCCAATTACTATTCACACATTCAAACTTTAATCACTTTTTTTGTTTATTTTCTTGTCAAGTCTTGTTTTGTAAAAATTTTGATGTAATTTTTAAACATATACGTAAATTTTATTTTCTAATTTTATACCTACAATCAATTAAACTAAGTTAAAAATAAAATTTGTCAAACCTTGTAAACAAAAACAGGAAGAACGTTTTAGAACGGAAGGAGTATTGCTGTATGCATTTCAAAAAAATTGCAGAATGCAAATAACTTGATAAAGTATATCAAACATACATCTTAAAATAAATCCAAATAATTATATTAAATTCAGAGAGCAAAATATGTTTTTTTTTCATAATTTATGCTTGAAGTGACAAAAGAAGTCAAAATAAAACGATAATTTTTGTGGAAAAAAATAGAATGACATTTATTTTGTGATATCTAAGAGCAAGTATTGAAAATAAAAGTTGGTGAACACGTCACCCAAATAAGAGAACAAAATTAAAGATATTACAAAATTCAACATCAAAACTAATAAGGTTAAATTTGACTTTGAAGCACAATTGCGTCCCACAAAAACTTATTGATAAATCTACAATGAAAACTGTACTGATTAAATCTGGCCACCCAAAGAAACTTGATACAAATGGCATGAAAAACAAAAGGCCTATTTTGAAATCAATGCAAATGAATATAAATGGGAGAAAAAAAAGGAAAATGCCAAAATGGATGGCCTTCAAAAACTATTACAACAATAATACACATCTGGTTGCAGCACAAAATGAAATGATTTGGCAAGAATGAATACGCACTGTGCTATAGCCCCCATGGATCAATTCTTTTTTGGTGCTTTAATTTTAGTTTGCTCCTTCAGTGCTAGCGATCCCCACTTCGTATCGACCCCTATATATATATATATATATATTCTATTAGTAACATTCATTTTACCTACACAAAGCAACAAGAAGAAGCTCATGTCAAAAATCACGAACGGCATTTGACTTTCACCCAAATGGGTTCCCAGCAGGAGAGAATGTATTCTGGGCAGGGGTAGCTGCCGCATGTAGTCCACCGATCTGCTGGTTGGTGTTCGTGGTTGCAAAAGCAGCAGCACCGAGGTCATACCCTGCTGGGTTATACGGTCTGCAGGCATTTCGAAAGGTGAACAGATGGGCCCATAAATGGAAGTTATGGTGAAAGATCAGACAAGGAAATACCTTTGTGGCAGACTAGCTGCCAGGTGTTGGCCCATATATGAATCTGAGAATTGAAGCAAGTTAGAACATGGAGAAAAAACATATATGAATGCAGCAAGACAAGACCGAAAAATAGGTTACTTGGAGGGTGTGCCGATAGATAAGAGGGTGGCTGTTGGTGCATGTTGATGTGTGGATGATAAATTTGTGGAGTCCCATGGTGGGACGTGTGGATCAAACTGGCTGGAGCGCCCAAGTTTGGTAATGCACCTTGTAACGAAGCCACTGATGGGAACTGCAACAATGTAGTGAAGGGCACAAAAGATTCTCATAAGTGATTAACTACGTATTTCATAAATGCAACGTATTAAAAATTTGTTTAGCTTAGTGTTCTGACTACCACAACAAATATTGTCATCAAACCTAGAGTCTGAGTGAGTTTTTCATTTCTTCCGTTTAAACAGTTGAACAAATGGCAAAATAGTGGGAACTACAGTAATATTCAGTTTGCTCACTGTTGAAGCTTGTAAAGGAGATGGCTCATTGGTTGTATCAAAAGGATTTGATGATTTTACCGGCTGCATAGGGGTATGTGTCTGCTGATAAAAATATAAAATGCATAAGTACTTTGCAGTAACGGATATATATAACTAAGAGGGATCAGCCAGCACAATAAGGGACATAGGGTTGCACATTGATACCATTTGCATATTATTATATTGCATGGAGAACCCATGTCCATGCTGTGGAGCAGCATACCAGCCTTGTACTGGTGCATGAATGGATGGATAGGTGGCAGCAAACAAATCCTGCAGATGAATCATAACATAAATACTCTGTGCTAGAGGTGAAAAAAGTTCAAATTAAGAGTTACGAGCATTACTGCAGGAAGCTCTTTTCTCCCGCTGGATTTAACATCAACTGCAGGGGCAGCAGTTCTAGAAGTTGGATCCATGGCATGCTCAGATACAGCTTGAGGACCTTGAGCACTTGATGTGTTCAAAATTCCAGAGGGGGCTATAGGATTCCACTGCTGGAAAAAGAAAGGACGAGTATTTGAACGCAGCAGCAAAGTATAATGCTGCATTTTCAAAGAAAAATTAGAGCAAACCTGAATACCTGATTGTTAGGATGTCCACCGGAAACTGGAATTGAGTGATGAGGGAGAGATTGGGTCCCTGTACCCAATGGGAGAGAAGGATGCTGAGGTTGCATGCTGGGCCATTGCCCTCCACTCCCTCCAGCAGCACTGGTCAAAGAGACAGTACTCCCAACTTGCAATAAGGATGTTGGTTCGAGAGGAAATGAACTTGGACCAAAATTACTCAAGTGAGTAACATCAGCTGGAATAGGTGAACTTCCAGAAGCTGGAAAAAAATCAACAGGAGCTGAACTTGCAGGGTTCCCACCCATCTGAACAGGGGCAAGTGCAGGAGCCATCAGTTTTGAAAGTACATCCAGCTGATTGGCATTTGAAGGTGCTTTCACTGGTTGTGACTCAAAATTTGCCCAATTGTCAACACCAGATGAAGTTGGTTGCATTACAGGTGTAGCATTTGTTAATTGTTGTGTTTGTTGCACTCCAACAGCTGGAGAGGGTTCAGGAACAGCTTCAAAATCAATTAGTGAAGGTTCTGCCTTAATTTCAGTTGAGCTGCCATTTGATGATGCCAAACTGGTGGAGGAAGCAGACCTCTGCAAGGAAATGAAGAAATGTGTTAATTCGAAATGTTCTGCATCTACTATAGCCAAGGATGAAAATATCTGTATCAGTAGATATGGCAATTTGAGTTCACGAAAAACTGGTAGAAATATAGATATCGATTTCCTTTCCAGTAACATTTTAAAAAAACTGATGGAAACTGATAGGCAACACTGAAGTACACGGTACTCCGTAGTCCGTACATTTCAACTTTTTCAAGAATGGTACCTAAACTTTTACGAAAATTTTGATTTGGTATGTGAACTTCAAAACCTTTCACAAAAATACATGAACTTTTACCATCCTTTCATTAATAGTCCATTTGCCCATTACCAGGTGACTAGCACGTCACTTTGGCCAAATTGCAAAATCCGAATTTTTATTTTTTCACATTGACCCTCATTTCTCCCTTTTTCTTCTTCTTACACTCCCATGATTTATATTCTTTTCTTTTTAAACCCACTTCCCTTTCTTTCTCTTCTTTCTTTTTCCCCTCCTTTTCTTTCATTTTTTGTTTTTTCTTTATTTTGTTTTTTCTTATTCACTATTTTTTTCAAAAAAAATGACGGAAAAAATAGTGAATAAGAAAAAAGAAAAGAAAGAAAAAACAAAAAATAAAAGAAAAGAGGGGGAAAAAGAAAGGAGAGAAAGAAAGGGAAGTGAGTTTTAAAAGAAAAGAATATAAATCATGGGAGTGTAAGAAGAAGAAAAAGGGAGAAATGGGAGTCAACGTGAAATAATAAAAATTCAGATTTTGCAATTTGGCTCAAAGTGACCTGCCTGGTAATGGGCAAATGAACTATTAGTGAAAGGATGGTAAAAGTTCAGGTATTTTTGTGAAAGGTTTTGAAGTTCAGGTACCAAATTGAAATTTTCGTGAAAGTTCAGGTACTATTCTTGAAATTTACCCTATATTGTTGATATTATTGTGATACGGGTTATAATACAAAACTAGTGGTGCACAAATGCTAATTATTATTCCTATTTCAGTCGCAAAAATGCTAGAAAGTAATCAGAAGTTTAGAGGTCATTGAAGGTCTATCATGCTAACAATGAAATTCTCTGTGAAATTTTGCGAATAACTTAAACGTAAATGACAGTACTATTAGCAGAACATATATTTAGTATGTATGTATGTGTGTGTTTCTATATATATACACACACACACATATATATGTATGTATTTAATTGTAATTGGTTGGCATATATCTCTTATTTTAAGGAGATCTCCCAAATACTTTCAGGTACTTGAATGTAAAAAAACTGTTCTCAAAATTAAAATGAGATTTCACCGATATTTTCAAGATTTTGACAAAAAAAAACTGTAAGAACTTAATTCCAATACACATCAGTGTCAATGCCTGCCCCATTAGCAAAATTCCGGAAAACTAACAATTGAAATCAGTGATTTGTTCATCCTTGGCTATAGCGCATAATGTATAAACTATGCTTTATTGAGTAGTATATGGACGAAAGAAAAAAATTAACCTATAAATTCATTGAACAATAACAGACTAGTTA